CCGCCCCAAGCTAAGTACACTAGCGGCACAGTTGGGATATCCGACCCGTCACCGTTTGGAAATCTTGGGCCTCACTGTTGAGCTTGACAGTGGAAAAACCGGCTTACTTAAGCTGAGTGTTGACACCCTCCAGGCTCGCCTTCGCGCCCTAAACATCCTGAACCCCTCTTTCGGTGTGGCAAGGGTCGTGTGTTCCAGTTTGGTTTTCGCTGCTCTGGCTTGGGCTGCAGGCATTGCAGCCCCGGAAACGAAGGATCTCACCGCCATCCGGAAGTCGGTCCACCGAGCCCTCAAACCTCAGATCACAGGCGAAACTCCGTGGGTCCTTCTAGCCGAAGTCCACGGATGGCAGTGGGACCCCAAATGGCTTTTGCAATGGAGGGCCTTATGTGCAGTCGGGAGACATGTGACAAGGGGTGCAGCTCAAAGTGACAACCCGGTGCAGGCTGTCCTCCCCCATGCCGTCAGCACCGCCGCCGACTTGGGCTGGACACTTGAACTCAATGGCGCCGCCATCTCTCGAGTCGACGATGCCGGGCAGACACGACGTTTTTGGTTCGGGTGGCAGAACAGCCAAGTTTTGCGCGACTGGCTCACCGAAGAGCACCGCAAGCGAGGCATCGCAAGCTGTGGACGTGTCAAGACCTCTTACCACCGTGCAGAGGCAGGCCTTGCTATGGGCCTAAATCTTGATGCACCGTGCCCGAGCATCCGCTTCGCCCTGGCGGGCCACAGACTTCTCGGACAGAGTCAGACACTTGATGTTCGCCGAGCCTCTCTGGCCACAGGCGGTTCGGCCTGGTACCACCGTCAGCGCCTCCCTGCTGGGCGTGATTCTGAGGTCAAATGCCTGTGCAATCTCTCCTGGCCCTCGCGAGCCCACGTTACGTGGGTATGCCCAAAGACAGTCGTGCACAGGCAGGGTCTCCGGGCCCCCGCGAACAGAGTAGAAGAAAGGCTGTTTGGAGCCCCCCTGCCGGAATACCCAGCTGCCCCTGATGGCAACCAGGTCCCAGCCATGATTCAGGCCTTGCGTGACCACTTCTGCCAGGTCCTGACACATGATGCCGGCCACATTCTTGTTGCCAGTGATGGGAGCCATCATCTTGGGGTAGGTGCCTGTGCCGTGGTGACGGAGCGTTCCGAAGACACCTTCTCCGCAGGGGACGATGCCGAAGACCAATCTCCCTTTCGATACGAGATGGTCGGTTTGAATGCCCTCCTACAAGCTCTACCGAGGGGGCAGCGGTACAACAACTCCACTGTGACCGTCTTGGTCGATTGCCAAAGTGCTTTGGATTCTGTTCAGAATCCCGGCACTAGCAAGCTCAGGTGCCTGGCGGAGGAGTCGGCTTCTTTGCTACAGGCACTCCGCCAGGACTACAAGGCTGTCCACCTGGTGTGGGTCCCTTCGCACAACAAACGACTTGATTGGCAACCGCCTCTCAGCTTGGATGATCGCCGGTGCCGTGACCTGAACGACAAGGCCGACCGGGCAGCCAACCAACGACGTGACTCGCGGGCCCAAGGCTCCTCTCGTGTGGAGTGGCATCGCCGCTTTGAGGAAGCTGAGCGATGGGAAGTTGCTGCCATCTCGGCGGCAGCTGCGTCATCTGCCCTTCTTTACGATCACCTCAAACCTTCAGATTCCCCTCCCTAGGATGGGTTTTTGTAGGGCTCCAACCAACCTGGTTGTCGCAGTGTGCCTTGCCTGCTTGACCATCCCCCTCGTGTGGTTCCCTAGTGTTGGTTTAGGCCCACCCCTTTAATGCCCGTGTGAGCTCCCGCGAGCTCCTCCTCTTCAGGTTACTCGGGTTTAGGCCCCACCTTTCCTTTGTGTCAATGGAGCGAACTCCGATCTGCCAAGCGCGGCCTCGCCCTGCTGCGCGAAGCTGCTGCTGCGGCTGGAGATCCCGCTCCTAGGCCCTATGCGGCTGCAATGTCCTCCCTTTCCCCTTTGGGTTCCGTTGGGTTTAGGCCCCTCCGTTCCCCCTTAGGGGTCCCAGGTGCACCTGGTGAGAGCTCGGAACCTTGGCTGAGCGCGGCTATGCTCACGTCGTGAGCGAAGCTGCTGCTGGCGAGTGTTCTGACCCCAGGACTTTTCTCACAACTAATACCACTCGATATGTGGGGCCGGGGCCCCTGGGCAGTGACTGCCCTCGCAGTGCAGGACCCCCGACAGAGGCGGGCTCTCCTTCCTTGTGCTTGAGCACCATCCGGTGCACCTCGAGACAGTGGTGATGCTCTCTACAGCCTGCTGTGAAGAAGCCTTGCCTAAACCGTTCTACGCTGGGCTTGCTTGGCAGCGTTTGGAAGCTTGAAACACCTTCTTGTGCTACCTCGTCGAGGCTCCCCTGTGGCCTCTGCGGCTGCTGCGCTGGGGCTGCTGGCGGCTGCTGGGCTGTGGCTGCTGTGGCTGCTGTGGTCCGAGTCTTGAGTTCCTGCGGCAAGCCCCACTGAGTACGAGCGTAGCCTTGACGTGTATGTAGTCTTGTAGTTTTCTCCTGGAGTCAACTTGGTCACACATGCTAAAGTATGGTACCGAGGACTCTTCGTAGCAGCCTCTGTCATCTCATGACACCTGGCTTTGTAGTACATACTCTCCTTTGACCATCATGCTTCGCTTTGCACTTTTGCATGGGGGAATGTGGAAGTTGCAAGGCGAGTCGTAGTTACAGTCTCTTTTGCTGTACAGCCGAGCCTTTCGTTGCACAGTGACGAATGGACAACGAGACGACATGAACCTGCAGCGGCGAGGGACCTGCGCGCCTGCTCTCCATGGTAGGTGCAAGGGCTCTTGTCGTAACACCACTCTTTGCGGAGAACAGGCCCTGCCGGGCTTGCCCGGCGGCGCTGTTTAGAGTAAACGTTTTGGGTGGGCGGGGCGGGGTGTCTCTGTGGGTAGGAGGAGTTCCCTCGACTGGACCAACTCGAAGATCTCCGCAGTTTCAAAGAGAAAAGTTTTATTGAGCGGTTTTGAGTTTCTATTTTATTTACGTATCGTGCGCTTTTCAGAATGGAGCCAGAAGCTGAGTGCGCGCACAATCTCAATGCTTATCATGGACGCAGAGCTCAGGCTCAGGAGCAGGGAAAATTTTGATTCCCACCCTCCACTCCCTTGTAGATACTGTGGTCTCAAACCACGTGGGCGGGGGGGGCACAGGCACACAGGTGCGCCTTCCCGACACGTCAAAGACCTGTTCAAGAATTAGATGCCTGCGTGAGCCTGCCGCCATCCGTTTGAAAACATCCTGCATGCTCCTTTCGGCAGTTGCTATCTCTTTAGATATTCATCATTAAGTGGCGAGGATACATTTGATTGGAGTCCCAAGAGGCGAAAGCAAGATATGAGAATTTATACCCCATATATTCTCTGGGGATACCGTCGGTGCATTTATACCTTCGCCGATATTTCCGTTTGCCCAATATATCTTCTGGGCAATAAAATTTCTGATGAGGGAACTGAGTTTTGTAAACTTCGCTCACAGCGCCCTTCCTAAACACAACGGTTGCGGAGAACAGCGGATCAGGGCAACGAGTTCCGGGGCCTGGAGGCGGCGCTGCCCGGGGGCGTGGTGCACCGGCAAAAGGACCCGGCGGATCGCAACGCCACCGCCGTCATAGACCGCGCCATCCAGACATTGAAGAAGGACCTGGCGGGCGAGGTGGCCCGGCACGACGGCGGCTGGGGCGACCACGTGGACGAGGCCACGGAGCCGGCCGCACGCGGCGGTCACGGTGGCGCCCGAGGACGTGGAGACCAAGCCGGCCGCCAGCTTCAGGGTCTACCAGGATAACGCGGAGAAGTTCCAGCACAACAAGGACCTCACGGAGGGCCGGCAGCGGCGGCTGGAGGAGGCCGGCGCCTTCCGCGCTCCGACGAATGCGGCGCGAAGCTTCCAGCCCCAGTACGGCCCCGTCAGGGACGTGGCCTCTTTCGACTCCATGACGTTCCGCGCCACCGACGGCAGCCAGACCCTGCTCAAGCACGCCCTGCCCGTGCCCCGCGGCAGCGGCGAGCCCGTGGCCCGTTTGACTCGGCGGCCGGAGCCCCTGGCCGTGCGCCAGCTCAGAGACTTCAACCGCCCACCCCAACCCCCACGACTGCTCACGTGAGTTGTTCCATCCGCGTGCAGCGGATGCAAGGGCAGCACCCTGCTCGTGGCCCGTGGGCCTAATGTTCCGGCCCGTGGGCCCTCCCGCGATGCGAGGAGCTGACCGTGATGCACCTGTGATGCACCTGTGGTGCACCTGCGGCGGTGCATCACCCTGCTGGCGGCCCGCGAACCCGCTCCCCCGCAGGTCCATGCTGGCCCGCCCGTGCTCCGCTCCCCGAAGGGTCAATGCTCGGCCCGTGGGCCCGTCGGTCGACGCCCGCCTTCCGCTCCCCGAAGGGTCAATGCTCGGCCCGTGGGCCCGTGGGTCGACGCCCGCCTCGTGGCCCGTGGGCCCAATGATTCGTCGGCGCCGCCTGGCCGATCTTGGGGGTTCTTGGCTTGGCCCCTCGCCATTGCCGATGCCTAAACCCTAAACCCTAGGAGCCAGTGGGGGCCTTTTGCGTGCGGCGAAGCGCGTCGGTGGCGGCCGCCAGTGACCTGTGCGCCGGGGAGGGGGGGCCGGGGATCCCGGAATGCAGGGCAGCCTACCGAGGGTCCTATGTCGGGACGCAAAAACCCTGAACAAAAACCCCGGACCCCGCAGCGAACCCTGGGCACCTGCACTCTAGACCTTGCAAGCCTACGCAAAACCCAGGCCTGCCAACCTTCGAAACAACCCTGAACCAAACCCCTGCGCACAAAGACCTGGCAACCTACGAAACCCCAGCCCAAGCCCTGAAACCTGGGGAGGGGGTGCCCGGCGCGACGCGAGGAGGTCCAGACCTGGGCGGCGGAGGCGGCAGGGAGGTAGGACGGGGCAGGACTCGACAGGCAAGCCACTAAGCAAGCGCTCGAAGACCTTTTTTGCGCCACTCTGTGTTTGTCGGGGCGCTGCGTTCCGGATCACATCTCGCAAAGGATTTCGCGGACCTTGCTCAGGTGCACTTCGGCGTCCTCCAAGCGGAGCATCTTTCTGTTCGGATCGTATGCCTCGAACTGTGCCATGCCCTTGCCGTCCATCACCGCCTTGATGCCATAGGGCACGGGGTCGGCCGTGAGGAGCGCCTCGAAGTCGCTCACGATGCTGCGGTAGCCCTCCTCCCAGTAGCCCCAGCAGCCGCACAGCCGAGTGGGGGCGCGCACGAGCATCGTGACCCGCGCCACCACTGTGATCTTGCCGTCTACATCGAAGGCCTTGCGGCCGCGGTGGTCCAACACCATCTTCGGGACCATCTCCACGACCTCATGCGTGCCCAGCTTGACGCGGTTCTTGTAGAGATGCAAAACGGCTTGTCTCTGCAGACTCTGAAGGACCTGGCCGGCGTGGTAGAGGTCGCCCACCGCGTAGGCTGCACCGTCCTTCTTGATCTGGATGTCGAAGCCTTGGTCGCCGTGGATGCGGATGGTCTTGGGCTTCTCGGGGCGCTTCGGCGACGGCTCCCCAGTAGCCCGAAGCTGCTCGAGCACAATCGACGCGGGCATCAGGAGGCGGACGTATGCATACCTTTCCTTGACCAAAATCCAACGTTCCGCTCCTGTCTTTACGAATGGATCGTTGTACGCCAGCCCCCTGCTCTCCTCACGGTAGATGATCTCCTTGCTGGGAAAGTAGTTGTTTGGCGGCTGGGCTTCCATCTTCTCAAGCCCCAGCCTCTTCAGCTCGCTCTCCGGGAAAGCGCGCCTTTCCCACCGCATCACCTGGACACGGGCCATGGAGCCGTCCAACTCCGCCAGGCGACACTCCAAGCCGCACAGCTCGAACGGGGCGCCAAGGTCAGGGATCTCGAAGCACTGCGGGGACAGCACGCCGCCCCTGATGAGCACACCGTGCACCAAGCGGTCGACCTCGTTGATCGGCAGCCCGATGGTAAGGCTCTTGCGGATCTTGTCATCCTTGCGCTGGCGCTGTTCATCCTCTTGCTCGTGCTTCAGCTCGAGCAGGGCCTGTTTGCGTTGGGCCGCCTGCTCGCCCAGCTCCCTGCGGTCCTCCTTCGCCACCTTCTTCCGCTTGCGCCGCGTCTTGCACGTCTTCTTGGTGGGCTTGGCGGCCTCCCCCTTCTTCACCTTCATCCGGCGCTCGATGCCCTCCGTGCGCTGGGCCTCCAGCTCGGCAATCTTTCTCTTGCACGTCTCCAGCTCTTGCTCGGTGAGCTTGCGACCGAGGAGGCCCTTGGAGTTGCGCACGTAGCCCATCTCCACTTTGAAGCGGAGGGTCTGGAGAGCCCTCTTTTCGGGCGTGGGCTGGCTCGGCATGACGGCTGGTCTGAAGGCTTGCTGCCAAAGGCGGTATTCACTGTGCTAAGTTTTTCAGCTAGCCACAGCAACCAAGTATCTGAACGAAGTGTTCCTCTCGTACTGACTTCGAGATCAGCTGCGGGATCGAAAAGAGCTGGACGGGGCAAGCAAGCAACCGGACCCTGGCTCTTCAAGCACACACCGCACTGCCACACCGAAACCCCGACTGCTACACTGCGGGGCGCTAACCGAGAACCCAGCCGGGCAAAGCGAAGCTAGGGGAGAGGCGGGACCTGGGCGAGCGGGGAGTGAGGAGGGAGCGAGACAGCACACAGCACTGCCTGGCAGCCTCGGAGCCCCTACAGCCTTCCAACCCTAAATTAAGGACCCCTGAAGCCTTGCGCACACAAACGGACCTACCTGCACTCCTACCCTTCAAGGCTGCACTGCGGGGGCCCGGCCAGCCAAGCGACGAGGTCGGACCTGGGCGGCGAGAGCAAGGAAGAGGGAGAGGGGCGGGGAAGGAACGCAGGGCACTACCTGGCAGCCTCGGAGCCCACAAGCCTTCCAACCTGAAAAATGCCGAACCTTGCGCACACAGACGGACCTACCTGCACTCCTACCGGCGACCCTCCTACAGCAACGCTGCGGGGGCCCGACCGCGAGCGACGAGGTCGGACCTGGGCGGCGAGAGCAAGGAAGAGGGGAGAGGGGGCGGGGCAGGGACGCAGGGCGCGACCTGGCAGCCTCAGAGAAAAACCCCGAACCTTGCGCACACACAGACAGCCCTACCTGCACTCCTACCGGCGACCCTCCTACATCTCAGGTCCCGACCGCGCCCCGCCCGTCCCGACAGCCCGCCCCACCCAGCCCACCCCCGGCCCGGCTTGAAAGGAAGAGCGGCGCGGAGCAGAGTCAAAGCAGCAGCGGCAGCAGCAAAGGGGTTCGGGTCAGGGGGGTGCCCCCTCGGGTGGGATAGGGATGCAGGGACGCGGGGTTCGGGCAGCCTACGGGGAGCCTAAGGGGTTAGTCGCGCACTCACTTGCAGGGACGCACACAAGACACTCCTACGGGGCTTCCAAAAAAAAAGGGGGCCCTGAACCTAGGGAGGCAAACCGGGGCAACCTTAGGGGGGGGGTCTGGGAAACCACGCGGCTCGCTTTTAAAAAGCAACGGTGAAAGCCACCCCTCGGTGCCGCCCCCCGGGTGGCTCGTGGTGCTCGTGGTGCTGACGTGGAGTTGCTTGTGGCTGCTCGGATTTGTGTTGCGTGCTGCTGCTGCGCTGCTTCTTGACTGTTGTAGAGTCTACGTCAGCACCGCTCTGCCTCCTACCAGCTTGATACGACTCTGCCCCGAACCGGCGTCATCACCATGTCCATCTCTGCTCGGCCCGCCACGGCACAACGGCGAAAGAGGTGAATCTGGCGGAGGAGAGGTCGGCTTCCTCTTTTTTTTGGTGTCCGGCCAGGGTTTTTCCTGCTGCGATGGCATGATCTTGGACTTCTCGTTGGCGCGGTCGATCCTCTTTTTCTGGTTGTACCAGTCCCTGTGGAGGTCGCACTTCCCCATCGGAGTCTGAAGGCAGTTCGCACACGTCATGCAGCGCTCTGGCCGCGGTCCGAGCTCCGGGCCCGGTGTACCTGGCGCCGGGCTCCCAGGCACAGGTGGCACCTTTGGCGCCGGGCTCCCAGGCGCAGCCCCCGACACGCTTGCAGCTCCCGGCGTGCCTGGCGCAGCCGCTTCTGCAGGCATCCGCGGGCGCCGAGGTGTGAGAGGTGAAGCCTTCGGTGCCGGGGTCCTCGACGTTGTCATCAACTCTCGAATAATGCCCAGGCATTCGGCATGTGTCTGCACACTCCGGTCGGAGATTTTGCGCAATGCATCCAGTTGTTGCTGCTGGTGCCTTTGCACTTGGGCCTGCTCGTTCAGCAACTGGAGAACCCGCGCCATAATCACCAGGGTCTGTGGAGCTTGCGCCTCTTCAAGTTGGCCTTGCGCCGCTGCCGTCAAAGCTTGCTCCTCGTCGAAGCGACGCCGATGCAGCTCCTCGGCCCGCCGCTCCGCTGCCAGCCGCGCGGAGTGCGCTGCCCGTTCCCTGTCGCGCGCTTGACGGGTAGCGCGCTTCTGTTCCCGCAAAGCCTCCTCTGCAGCGGCGGCCCTTCTGGCAGACCTCGCCGCTTTCGCTTCGGCGTCTGCCTTGTCCTGCTCGGCCTCCGCACGCGCATTCGCAGCTTCATCCAAATCAGCAGCCGTTGGCTCCAAACGCGCACGATCGTCGTCGTCCACAGCCACCTGCTGAAGCACAGCAGCTTCAAAATCTGCCACCGGTGACGCAGGTGAGGTTGGAACGTCACAAAGTGCCACGAGCTCGTCGAAGAGTTCGCTGGCGACCTGAGCAGCCAAGTGGTCCGCCGCCTCGACCATCAAAGCATCTGTCGTCATGCTAATCAGGAGGTTGCCAATCGCAGGTGCTGGCACGGCAGCCTCCGGCGCCGGTTCCGCGCCGCCCAGCTCCGGAGCCGGGGTCTCCTCCGTCGGCACCGGCACTGCCGGCTCGGTGCCGTTGAGCACAGCCAGGGCCTGTGCTAACCAGCTCACCATGGCGACGACTCCGACCAGGTTGAATCCTGCCATTGCAGAATCCGTGGCTGCTAGGTGCTAACTAACGAGCTGCTGCTGAGCTGCCTGCGCTGCTGAGCTGTGCTGCTGAGCTGTGCTGCTGAGCTGTGCTGTTGAGCTGTGCTGCTGAGCTGAGCATGCGCCTTCTGTGCTGCCTATGGCTCGGTGGCTTGCTGAAGGACTGCGCCTAGGCTTCCCTAAGGCCCTAAGGTGTGGTGCTGCTTGACGCTTCATGCCTGCGAGCTCCAGCTTGAACCACGAGCGCGGAAACATAGACCTGCGCAACATGCCAAGGGTTCGGGTCAGGGGGGCGACCCCTCGGGTGGGATAGGGCACTGAAGCAGCCAAAGCACCAGCAAATATCAGCGCCTCATGTGCAAAATCCTAAGCGCGAAACAGCTTCTTCACCTAGGGGATCCACGAGCCCACGACCGTGGTGCACCACACTCCCGCCCGACCTGCCCGGAATAAAAACATTTCCCGTGGTGTTGTGACGACGGCGCGGCGACGACGAGTTGGCGACGCCACGGCACAGGTGCACCACCCCCCGACCGTGGTGCACCACACTCCCGCCCGACCTGCCTGGAATAAAAACATTTCCCGTGATGTTCTGACGACGGCGCGGCGACGACGAGTTGGCGACGCCACGGCACAGGTGCACCACCCCCCGACCGTGGTGCACCACCCCCCGCCCGACCTGCCTGGAATAAAAACATTTCCCGTGATGTTCTGACGACGACGCGGCGACGACGAGTTGGCGACGCGACGGCACAGGTGCATCACCCCCCGACCGTGATGCACCGCCGAAGGTGCACCACAGGTGCATCACAGGTGCACCACCCCAATCTCCACACAAGTGATCGTTTGGAAGGAAGCTGTGCCGTGGCACCGGTACCGCGGCGCCGGTTCCGCGGAACCGGTTCCACGGCACGGGCTCGCGGTGCGGGTGAGGTTGACCAACCAACTCACAGCCTACGACCGTGTCCCAGACCGTGGTGCACCGCCACGAGTGCACCACAGGTGCATCACAGTTGCACCACCCCAATCTCCACACAAGTGAAGCTGTGCCGTGGCACCGATACCGCGGCGCCGGTGCCGCGGAACCGGTTCCGCGGAACCGGTTCCACGGCACGGGCTCGCGGTGCGGGTGAGGTTGACCACCAACTCACAGCCCACGACCGTGATGCACCGCCGAAGGTGCACCACAGGTGCATCACAGGTGCATCACCCCCCCCGACCGTGATGCACCGCCGAAGGTGCACCACAGGTGCATCACAGGTGCACCACGCCCCCCCAACTCACAGCGATAACCCGCACAGCCCTGAAACTGCATCAAAGTGCGACCTCTCTCTTATGAAGCGGGGGTTTGGACCCACAATCGATCGTCTAGAAGGAAGCTGATTCAAAATCGAAAGGGTGTTGAGCCTACAGCCTCGGGCTAAAAACGAAAGATCGATGGGGCTCAGGGCCGTAGGACGCAACGATCTTCGGCCTTTTAGGCCCAAAATTTTAGGACCGAGCGAATCGCAGCTCGACGATTGTGGACCCGAGCGGAGCGAACGAGCTCACGGAGCGAACGGAGCGAGCGAGGGAGCGAAGCGAGCGAGTGAGCGGAGAGAGCGGAGTGAGAGAGTGAGGGTAGCGAGAGAGTCCACAATCGTCGAGCTGCGATTGCGAGGAAAATTTTGGGCCTAAAAGGCCGAAGATCGTTGCGTCCTACGGCCCTGAGCCCCATCGATCTTTCGTTTTTAGCCCGAGGCTGTAGGCTCAACACCCTTTCGATTTTGAATCAGCTTCCTTCTAGACGATCGATTGTGGGTCCAAACCCCCGCTTCATAAGAGAGAGGCAGCATTACAGAGGGAATGAAGGTCCACCTCGCCCAGGCCGCACCGCCCTGCCCTGCATCTATGCTGCCCCACTGCGTCAGCTTCCACTTGCAGAGTCCTGGAGAACCTCGCTAACACCTCCAGTGCTGTGATGGGAGAGCTGGAAGCCGACACTATCAGGCGCTCCGCCCAGTTGCGAGGCCAAAAAGGGAAAGGGGATCCAGCAATGTCAAGGTGAGGGCATCGCCCTGAAGGACCCCAAGTACCTTGACTCATCCAGCTCTCGTACGGTGAACCACAAGTGTGAAAAGTTTACTCCTTTTAGGTGTGCCCTTGAGTACCGACATGCTTGTTTTGCGCATGAGAAAGGGTTTCATCCTTTTTGCATTGAACTGTTTTGTTTTGGAAGCTTGAACAGGCATTTGCATGGCTAACACATGTTTTGGCATGTTTGCCGTTGCTTGGAAGAACATGATGAGCGCTTACTGCACTAGAGATGCTTTGGAGCATCCTTGAAGAAGTGCGTGTTGCTCTGACTGCACTGTTGCTGTTTTCCGCCGACCCTCGCTTCGCTCGTGCCGGTAGGAACAGGCCAAGGGACAGAGTGGCTGTGCACTGCTGTTTGAGTGAGTACAGAAGTCCTGAGAAGTGTTAGGACAGTTGCATGTCATTCCTCCTTTGTTTAGCAAAGTTGAGACGGAATTAGCTGCGCGAGACTCCGCAAGAGACCTTGCTGAACACTTCGGTGTTTGGCTCAAGCGTGGAGTGAAAAGAGACTTGCTCTGCGTTTTTCACATGGTAGCGGAGCGCTGAGTGCGTTCCTAGTAAAGCCATGGCAAACGTTCCTGTGCCGGAGACCACTGCAGAAGAGGAGTTCGACCTTTTTGGTCCAGGACCAGCGCCTGAAGGTGCTCAGCAGGAAGCGAATCCGTTTGCTCCTGTCCAAGGTCCGGCTCCTGCTCCTACGCAAGCAGCACAGCCTTCTGTACCAGCGGCGGGTTCGCCAGCTAGTGCTACTGTGCCTCCTGTGCAAAGTCCAAAGGCGTCGGCTCCACCTGTTCAGAGTCCGAAGGCTGCTGCTCCGAGTAGCAGCTCTGGGTCTGCAGGTTTTACGCCTGAGCAGATGCCTGGATTCATGATGGAATTGCTTCGTCAGCAGAGAGAGATGATGGCAATGAACCAGCAGCTCGTTGCTACGATGCTCCGGAGAATGGATCTGGAGGAAGAGAGAAGGAACAAAGCGGAAGAGAAGGTTCACGAGGCAGCTGAAGCGGCCAAGCAGGCAGCAGAGGCAGCTAAGACTCGGGACCCCTTCCAGCCGAGCACTGCTCCCGCGAGCAGTTCTGCCGCGAGTTCGGCAGTTCCTCCAGCAGTTCCTTCTCCCTCTGGGTACTCTGGTGCTGGAGGCCGTGCAGAGAAGTATCTGCCGAACCTTCCGGTGATAGACCATCAAGGCATGGGGAAAGGGCGCATGAAGGAGGTAGAGACTTGGCACTCCTTTATGGAGACGCTGAGTTCCTGGCTTGCCCTGCAGGAGGAAGCGTTTGTTCGGGAACTGCAGCTCTGTATCCCCGTGAAAACGGAGATTGTGCAAGCTGACTTGAATCCCGAGACGGCAGCGCGTAGCTCCAAGCTGTTCTACTACTTGACGCAGTCCCTCGCCAAGTGGGAGCGAGGAAGCGAGCTCTTGAGGTCCTGCTCGAAGAGGCAGGGACAGAGCGCCTGCGGCTACGAGGTGATTCGAACGATTACCTCTCAGTACTCCATCGTGTCACGGATGGAAGCTGTCTTCGTGAGAGAACAGTCTTTGAAGTTGTACCAGCACGTTGGGCACATGAAGAGGCCCACCGACTTGATTCGACATCTTGAGGATTCGTTTTCGAAGTCGGAAGCGAAGTTGAGCAACTTTCCTGAGCTTAAGCTGTCTGAGGCTGACCGCTGCTCTGTTCTGTTGCAGAGTTTGAGCGCCGAAGTGAGACAGTACGTGGTTCTCCACGGCTCCAGTTCCGACTGGGAGGCCCTTCGGAAAACGCTCACCTACTACGAAGAGCAGCTGCGACTGTGTGAGGCCCCTGGGTCTTCAGGCCGAGCCTTGCAGGAGAAGCTTTGCGACTACTGCGGGAAGAAGGGACACACAGCTGACAAGTGTTGGCAGCGCCAGAAGGGCGAACGCGGTGGTGCTCCGAAGGGCAAAGGGAAAGGAGAGAAAGGAAAGCCTAAAGGCAAAGGCGACCAGACTCCCAAGGGATCTGGCACGCCCCGTGGTTCCGAGAAGGGCAAGGGCGACAGAGGAAAAGGCGACAAGGGCAAGGACAAAGGCAAGAAGCAGAAGAAGAAGAAGAAGGGACAGCCTGGAAAGGGACGCTCCTTGACAGAGTCCGAGTCAGAGGCCGAGTCGGGAGGAAGCGCCACAGTGATGGCGATGAGGTTTTCCTGTCCGGGGCGAGGCTCTTCGGAGCCCTCTTCTTCCGAACGCCGTGTTCTGAGCCAGCCTGAGAGACCTGAGCCGGCCGCCCTTGTAGTTCCGAAGCCGGGTTCGGGACCCGAAGGGTCGTCTGGGTCTGAGAGTCGAGGTTCTGAGTCGATGGGCTCCTTAGGATCCCGTGTGTTGAAGCACGGCGACGTAGCCCATGTCTGCAAGGCCCTCGAGACTACTCCTGGGGACCTGTGGCTCGTTGATAGTGGAGCCACCTGCCACATTGTTTCTGACAAGCACCTCTCAGGATTTCGTGTTGTCAAGAAGTACGACCGAACGGCCAATCTGTTCAACGCCTCGGGTGGTGCGATCGTCGTTTCGGGGGTTGTCGACCTTGAGGTTCATTTTGGGGATGTTTTCCTGAGGTTGGAAGAGGTCTTGGTGGCGGATGTTGGGTTCAACGTTGTTTCGCCTTGGACCGGGTCGGAACGGGGCTGGAAAACCTATCTAGCCAAATCGGGATCACGATTGTACAAAGGAAACGGAAAGAAGAGCATCAAGCTGATGGGCGCTTCGCGCGCCTGGTGGGCTCTGAGCGGGAGGTCCAAGGGCAGGGGGAAAGAGAATTCTTCCAGACGCCCCCCGAAAGGGATCGAGGATATGGAGATAGATGCCTTGAAGGACCGCGACCTGCTAGGACTAGGATCGAGCAAGGAGTCCACCGCAGGACCCCAGAAGCCTGGAGGAGGAATCTTGAAGAAAGGAAGAAAGACTCCTGAAGACGAGTCTGGCCGCCACGCTTTGGCTGCCACTCCTTTTGGGTTTCTGCTTCGGGGTCTTAGGGCGGAAGTTGCTCCAAGAGCGCCTGCACCACGGGAGATTGAGCTTTGTGATTTTCTAGAAGAGTCTAGTGACTTTAGGCAGTGCACGGCGCTTGATTTTAGGAAACAGTTGCCTGCTGGCGTGTCGCTTGATTTTAGGAAACAGTCGCATGTTGGCATGGCTCTTGATTTTAGGAAACAGTCGCATGTTGGCATGGTGCTTTGCATGTTTTGGGCATGTTTTTCCATGATTTTGCGATTGCTCAAGCGGGCTTTTACCCTGACGGTTTTTGCAGAACGACTCGGCATACGCCTCTTTTTCCTGCTATGGGAAACTATCTGGGCGGATCAAAGCAAGAATGCGAGCACCGGTGCGAGGTGTGCGGAAAGCAGCTCTGCATCAGACGCAAACCTGCTCACACCCATCATTATTGTTGGGCCTGCATTCAACATTGGTCTGGGTTGCAGTGGCTACGTGCCCACGACAGCGAAGTTCCAGATTCGAGCTATGCTGAGAGCGATGCCGATGGCGGCTGGGTCTTGCTTGATGGAAAGTAGAGAAGACAGACCCTTCAGCCACAAGAGGGTGAAAAGGTCGAAAGTACCCAAGGTGCCCAGGGATTTCCGCATGTTTTCTAGGATCGGCAGCCTGCTGCAAGCGCTGTGCATGAGTTGCATGGTCGGTTTGAATGCTTCTGCAGCCGTTTCTCACCATGAGTGCTATGAGTGGGGACGAATTCACCCCGAGCCTGGCTGTGAGCAGCCCAGGCTCTCCGGGGAAACCGCCTACTCCACCGGCTTTAGAAAGCCCCTCTTTCGAACTACCGGGGGTCGAGCCGCCGGGTGGGGGACCATCGTCGCCGGTGGCTATCTACCCGTCGCCAGTGGTGACGGAAGCAGCGGAGAGCCCGTTGCTGGCGGATTCTGCAGATGGCCCTTCGCAGGCAGAGGCTGCTGGGAGCCCCTTTCGGGTGAATGCGGCTGGAAGCCCTGTGGAGGAGGATACTGCGAGGAGTCCGCTGAAGGCGGATGTTGCAGAGAGCCCTTTGTTCTCAGAGAGCGAAGGGGAGGAGAGTTGGGGCCCCTCGTGGCCGAATCCCTCGAAGCGCCTGCGCGCTGGGGTTCCTTCAGAGGTCGAGGGGCCTACGCCCCCTCGGGTTGGAATTCCGGCGAACATCTTGCCGGGCTCGCTGAGCCCGCCGTTTGGTGCTCTTCAGATGGGTGTGGGAACCCAACTTCTCCTGCGAGCGTTGAGGCTGGAGGCTGGCCGCAGGTGGGAGGCTGCGGAAACACTAGGCATTGCAAAGGTCTCGGTCGACTCTACCGAACCTGTTCCGTTGCTCTCGCACTTGGCGGGTCCTCCAGCGAACATGAACGATGCCTACGATGCCCCATCCCTAGCATTCTCTGCTCCAGGGCACGCCTTGAGAGCACTTTGCTCTCCGACGGCAACGATGCTCGGTCCGATAGGCCTGCCCGACCTAGAGCATCCAGCTGCTTGGTTACCAGCCACTCCAGTGATTCCGGTGACAGCGGCCTATCCAGAGGAACCATTGAGGGTTTCGAGGCCGAAGATGGTGGAATCGGAAGCCCAATGTATCATTGGGCAGCAGGAGTGGGAGGTTTGGTTGGTACGTTGCCTAGAGGGCAAGAGCCTAGCAGAGTACGGGCTTCATATGGAGGACGTGGGGTTCGCAGTCAGGGTTACCGAACTTCTGGAGGCTCCAAGGGGTGCTCGGACGGCGTGGAAACGAAGGTTCCAGGAACCCGACGCTGTATCGATCCTCCATTATCTCTTCCATTGTCGATCTGTATTGCAAACCTATCTGGCTACGCCTGCTGGATACAGGGGACTGGTGGGAGCGCGATCGAGTCTGCTCGTAAAGGTGCCCAAGTCGGTCACCTCGATCGAGCTCAAAGCTGCTTGGGCATACCTAGACTCAGGCATATACCTCCGTGTTGCCCGGTATTACAGACGGAAACGGGAGCAGGAGCGCCTCCACGAGGCCCGGGAATCCATGCGAGCGGCAAGTGCCAAATCGGCAGCGACCCCTCAGGGCTCAAGGATGGAGGGCGTAGGTGTTGTGGACACCTCCTCTTCGAGCTCCGACGAGGAGTCCTTGCTCCTTGGAGAAGGAGAAGTTATGGCGCTGAACAGGGCCCAGAGCCAAGAAGATTTATCAGACATCGCAATATGGCGGACGCTGGAAGAACTTACAGGGCAGAGGCTGTCCCAATTGGATGGCTTCGTTGGGGCCGAAGAAGGAGATCAGCCCGCAGAGGCGGGACAGGCTCCTGGGCCGGCACCGCCGAGCCCGGCTCCATCCTCGGTGGCACCAGGACAACTGGTTGCTACTGCATTCAACCTCCCGAGGGTTTCGGCACCCATGCTTCCGGAGGGGATGCAGAGAGAAGATTATCAGAGGCACGGAGTGAACATCCCTCCGTCTGTTCCACCGAGATCTCGTCTACCAACGCCTCCGAGGGCTCTGAGTGCTCCCGCCACAGGACAGACTGCCCAGGAACGGGCATTTGTGCTCAGCCCGCCATCTTTCAGCCACAGTCAAGTTACTGCGCAGGCGAGGCAGATCCTAGAAGAGGGCCAGAGGCTCTTGGAGGATTGATTCTGCGGCGATCCGCACCGAGGGGTTGGAGTTCAAAAGATTTTTCCGGAGAGCATGCTTTGCAGCAGCACACTTTGCATCAGCACGCTTTGCAGCAGCACGCTTTGCAGCAGCACGTTTTGCAGCAGCATGTTGTGTGGCATGAGCGTTGGCATGATCTGTGGCATGTTGCTTGTGCTCGAAAACCAACACAACGCACCTTGAACCCTCCTACCTTCGAAACCCGCACCTTTGAGACCACAGCCACTTTCAGGAATGGGTACACGCCAGGACTGGATCTTGGTATCATCGTGCTCCTCCTGACGGTCTACAGCCTCCTCTGTGGTATAGCTTTGTGGGTTTCTTCAGGGTTACTTCGGTGTTTCAGAAAAGTGGTTTCGCGAAAGAGGCCACGAAAGTTCTACAGGGTGTTTTCTAGAAAACGCGGAAGCTACTTTAGGATTAAGCTGCGGGACCGTTGGGCCCGCTTCGAGGTGAGTAGGAAACTTCTTTTGAGTCGTGAGGTGAAAGGTTTTGGGCAGCGTTTTTGCACGCATGTCGTTGAAAGCTTGAAGTGCGCATGTTGTGGCATGTTGTGCATGCTTTGTGCCGGAGATGATGAACCGGCCCCGGCAAAGAAGACGGAACAAGTTGAGCACGTGCTCCGAGCCGTGCGCTTTAGAGGTTTACCGTCGCCGGGGACCGGTACACGTTCTGATCCGTTTGACTTGGACCCCGAACCTTCCTCAAGACCTGCTCCCGCAACTTCCTCAAAACCTGAAGCTTCTGGTAGTAAACCCATAGATCCTGAAGGAATCTTTGGTGATGACCCTGAACCTTTAGAGCCGTCGTCTGGCTCCTCCAAGAAACCTCGAAGAGAGAAGGGTCCACCACCGCCCGACGATACGGTCGGACCTGAGGATGAGGAGGACCTGAGGGTTCCTCTTTCTTCTGTTTCGTTGTATAATCATCGAAGCCGAGGGCATTTTCCTTTTGATGCCAATTGTGAGGCGTGTTGTTCTTCGAAAGGGCGCGTTCCGGCGCGTCGCTTGAGGAGGAAGCTGCAGAGAGAGAACCAGACCATCGGTCTTGATTTCTTCTATTTCGGAAAGCTGAGGGTACTCTTGATGATGCACCTCGGTTCTAGGTACACTGTCTCTCTTCCTGCGATGCACCTCGATGACCCTGACCTGCTCCATAACATCAACCGGGTTATTCGCGAAATGGGATTAGTCGGTAAAGCGGTTACATTTCGGATGGACCAAGAAGCGGCTCTCGGAGCCCTTGCCGAGAAACTCACCAAGTGCGATAGCAGCCCTGCCAGCGCAACATTGATTGACGTGGTTCCGGGCTATCGGCCCCAGTCGAAAGGATCGATTGAGAGGCAGGTTGAAACTATGAAGCAGGGTTTCTGGTCTGTTTGGATGGACCTGGAGAAAGAGGTGGCTAAGGTGAAGCAGGAAACGGAAGCCGTTGAGCTTGGGAAGTATCAGTTACCTTTGGGAGGTTTGCTTTGGCAAGCCTGTGTTTTCTACGTTGCTAGGTGCTACAACCTCTGGTGTACTAGCGTCGGGGATTCGAGCACTAGCATAGATCGACTGCATGAGGAGATTGTGAACCGGACTCGAACGAGACCGTTTGGGTGTCTGGTGCAAGCTCAGGTCAGTAAGTCCAAGGCGCACCATGATAAGTTCAGGGGCGCCCGGACCGTGAAAGCGGTCTATCTGGGACCTGTGCACGCCAAAGGTGGCGGCATCTTTGCCGTCCCTGTCGGAAGCAGGGAAATAGATATATTCCCCGTCGCCAGAATGATTCAGGGAGGTGACATCTACGATGCCAAGACCCTGGAAGAGCTATCTCAAGCTAAGCCTCTTCTGCAGGATACTGAGGACCCCGAGAGGCCCATCCTGTTTGATCCGTTGGAGGCTCCTGGTGATGATGCTCCTGATGAGGGGACTGGTGTGGGAATGGATGAAGATGGTGATGAAGAGATGATTGAAGATGAGCTTGCTGACTATTCTCCGTCGGAAGCACCTGAGAACCAGGAGCTCGTGAACGATGAGGGGGATATGGAAATAGACTGGCTCACGAATCACTATCTTGAGTCCCTGTTTCGAGGACCTGACCTGCGAGCCACCTCCACTGCAGTTGCAAAGTCGTTTGATTTGAAGTTTGGGGGTACGAAGATAAGGTGTGCTGTTCCTCAGAACGCTGTGTCTGAGACCTCGGGAGAGAAGCTAGAACCCGACCTCCTTTACGCATCAATGAAGCTCGAGTTGGAAGAGTTAGAATCCTTCAAGGTTGGAGAAGTGATCCCTGAGCGCGAAGCTCGCCGTCTTGCTAAGGAGAATGGCAGGCGAGTCTTGACTAGCAGGTGGGTCAACACGGTCAAGAAGAAGGGACTGTATAGGTCCAGGCTAGTCGTGCGGGATTATGCATCCATGGGAGGCACCACCTTGAGTGAGGGAATATACTCTCCTACTACTTCATTGGAGGGTTTGAGGTTGCTTCTTTCAATGCTCTGCCGACGTGGCAGTGTGTTATCCTGCGATGTTTCGGTAGCGTTCATGCATGCTCCCGTAGCTAGGGCAGAATTCGTAGAGTTGCCGAATAATGTGAGCACCCAGGGGACTGGGGAACGAGTTTTCGTCAAATTGCGTAAAGCGATGAACGGATTGCGCTCTGCTCCATTATCTTGGTATTGCGAGTTGTCTGAATACTTGCGCTCTCAGAACTTCGAAGCGAGTTTGGACCCCACTATATTCCGTCGTCTTACGAAGAAGGGTTTGACGATTGTGTTGTTTTATGTGGATGACTTGCTTATCTACAGTGAAGATGAAGCTGAGGGGCGCCGGTTCTATGAGGAGTTGCGTAAGAAGTACAAACTGAAACTTACGGGCGAGTTGCTTCAAGATTGCCCCGGGGAAGTCTCGTTTCTCGGTCGGCGGATCTTTCGCCGTAAGAAAGGGGAACGTACGGTGTATTTCGGGCTAGACGAACAGTACTTGAGTTCCTGTTGCGAGGAGTACGGAATCACCAAACCTGCACCAAAGCTCCCCTCCCTTGAACGCCGCTACGCTGAGTTGCTGAAGAAAGGACAGACTGAGCTGATCAGTCCAGCTGCTCACGAAAGGTACAGAAGGACTCTGGGCCGTTTGGCCTGGGCGGCTCTTTCTCGACCAGACCTGCAGTTTGTGTGTGGGTTTCTGGGCCGCCACCAGGCAGCTCCTGACGAGGCTGCCGAGACCTGTATGAGGGATGTCCTTCGTTGGGTCAAGGGTCTTCCGCACAAGGTCCAGAGGTTTCCGAGCAAAAAGGGAGATCTTGGAAGATGATGCGGACCCTGCCTCTGTATCTTGTTTTACGGACACTAGCTGGAGTCTGAATTCGGTAAGCGGCGGGATCATCACGTGGGAGAACTGTTCCCTGAAAAGCTTCAGCAGGAAACAAACGACTACCGCACTCTCCAGTGCGGAAGCAGAACTCGCTGCACTCACAGAGGTTGCTCGTGAAGGGTTGTACATTGCTTTGCTTGTGGAGACCATCCGCGAGGGTATGCCGAAAGACAGGGAAACCGGTTATTATTTACTTCGGGGATATTCTGATTCCGAATCGGCGGTTTGTATATCGAAGATGCAGACCCTCCTGAGGAAAGTGAGGCACATCGAACTGCGTGCCGCATTCCTTCAGGAGCTCGTGGCCCGGGGTCGTTTTACCATAGAACACATACCGGGAGTGATAAACCCTGCGGACGCCCTCACGAAGAGCCCCACCAACGAAAGTTTGGCTAGCTTGTACGATGCCTCTGGCCTTGTAGATGAACCGAAGGCCTGGGAGAGTGAGCCTACTACGGTGCACGTTTCTTTTGAAGAGCCCAATGAAAACGAACGCTTTACTCCGTCTGTTCCGCCTTCCTGGAAAGCCGCTGCTGTGAAGCTAGCTCGTGGTGAAGCTAAGTACGTAGTGGTTGAACTTTGTTGTGAAGAAGGAAGTGCGTTGTCCAAAGCCTGCTCGAAGGTCCCCGAGATCGCCTACTTTGGGGTGACTAAGGAAGTTGATCTTCTGAGCTATAATGGCTTGTGTCTTCTGAGAGAGGTTTTCGGAGTTTTAGCTGAAGGTGAGGTGAAAGTGTACGCTCACCTGTCTACTCCGTGCTCTGCTGGTTGTGGCTTGAGGCACCTGAGGTTTTAAGAAGGGAGGAAAGGCCCTGGAGAAGTGGAGAGCGGCTCTGGCCGTCCACAAGAGGTCCTGGAAAAGGATCGAGAAGCTGTTGGAGCCTTACGTGGACTCCCCGAACCTTCTTCTTTCTCACGAGTGGCCTGAGAAGTCAGGACTGTGGGACGAAACTGTGTTTAAGAGGGTTTCTAAGAAGCTTCGTTTGGAACAGGGTTGCCTTGTGGATCGTTGTTGCTTTGAGAAGGGTGATCAACGACCTTGGAAAAGGTGGTGGTTTGTGTCGAACCGCACAGAGTTTGTGTGGGGACTTTCGTCTCAGTGTTCGGAGGGGCACGGCCACTACTACCTTCCTCTTCCTGAGTCAGGTGTTTACCCGCCAGGTTTGGGAGTTTCTCTCCTAAAGACAGCGAAGAGGACTCTCGGGCATGAGGGGGTGTGAAAAGTTTACTCTGGCTCAAGGTCTCGGCTCAAGCCCTGGTTTACAGGTGGGTGCTGCAGGTAGGAAGCTTGCTGTGTAGTAACCAGTCCCTGGTCCTAACTGCTGTCGCAAGAGGCCCAAACAGGTTCAATCCCAGCTTTAGCTCCTGTGCAAATTGCGCCTCAGACAGGGCTTCTCCCGTCTGCTTGTCTCCTGCTTGGAAGTGGGCCTCCCCTCCTCGCAGCTCAAGATAAGCGACACAGTTCTTGCAGCTCAACTGGCCCTGCCAGCTGTCAGGGAAGCAACTGAGTGCAGGACTGCTTTAGCCGAGTGCACACTGCACCAGAGCGAGGACTCGGCGCAGGTGGGTGTTGCAGGCAGGAAGCGTGCTGTGGACGAACCAGTCCCTGGTCCTAACTGCTTTCGTGAGGGCCCAAGCGAATTCGTTCCCAGTTCTCTCCTGCGCAAGTTGCACACCAGACAGGGCTTCCCCCGTCTGCTTGTCTCCTGCTTGGACGTGGGCCTCCCCTCCTCGCAGCTCAAGATAAGCGACACAGTTCTTGCAGCTCAACTGGCCCTGCCAGCTGTCAGGGAAGCAACTGAGTGCAGGACTGCTTTAGCCGAGTGCACACTGCACCAGAGCGAGGACTCGGCGCAGGTGGGTGCTGCAGGCAGGAAGCGTGCTGTGGACGAACCAGTCCCTGGTCCTAACTGCTTTCGTGAGGGCCCAAGCGAATTCGTTCCCAGTTCTCTCCTGCGCAAGTTGCACACCAGACAGGGCTTCCCCCGTCTGCTTGTCTCCTGCTTGGACGTGGGCCTCCCCTCCTCGCAGCTCAAGATAAGCGACACAGTTCTTGCAGCTCAACTGGCCCTGCCAGCTGTCAGGGAAGCAACTGAGTGCAGGACTGCTTTAGCCGAGTGCACACTGCACCAGAGCGAGGACTCGGCGCAGGTGGGTGCTGCAGGCAGGAAGCGTGCTGTGGACGAACTAGTCCCTGGTCCTAACTGCTTTCGTGAGGGCCCAAGCGACTTCGTTCCCAGTTCTCTCCTGCGCAAGTTGCACACCAGACAGGGCTTCCCCCGTCTGCTTGTCTCCTGCTTGGACGTGGGCCTCCCCTCCTCGCAGCTCAAGATAAGCGACACAGCTCTTGCAGCTCAACTGGCCCTGCCAGCTGTCAGGGAAGCAACTGAGTGCAAGACTGCTCTGGCCGAGAAAACACTGCACCAGAGCTTAGGCTCGGCGCAGGTGGGTGCTGCAGGTAGGACGCGTGCTGTGGAGAAACTAGCCCGTGGTCCGCACTGCCTTGAAAGAGGCCCAAACAGTTTCAATCCCAGCTTAAACTCCTGCGCAAGTAGCATCCCATATAAGGTTCCCCCGACTGCTTGTCTCCTGCTTGGACGTGGGGCTCCACTCCTCGCAGCTGGACAGGGTCGCGACCCGTCTGGCCTGCTTGGAGCTCCCTCCAGCAAGGGTTTAAGACCGTTTAGCAGGATAAGCGACACAGCTGTTTCAGCTCAACTGCCCCTGCCAGCCGTCAGGGAAACAACTGAGTGCAAGACTGCTCTGGCCGACAGGTGAGTTGGCCACTGCCACTCCCTTCACGGCAGGGTTGTCCCTGCTTGCTGCTAGTTTCCTAGCAAGTAGGTGAGCTCCTCACCTTGTCTTCTCCCTGTAAACCCTGTCTCCTGGCAGGAAGGGAGCGCCGCGCTCTCAGGTTCAAGCTTGGGTTCTCTCTCTGAGAGCCCGAACAAGACCGAGAGCCAGCGACTCAGGTTGCCTACGAGGTTTGGTAAGACTTTGCTCCTAGGCTTTGCTTGGCTTGGCTCTTTTTGCGAGTCTGGTTTGCAGACGGTTGTGTTTCGTTTCCGGAGCTTGGCTTGAGTGGGTTGTGGTCCCCACACCTACCCTGCCTAACTTAGGACCAATCGGCGCAAATCCAAGCAATGAGCGTGCAGCGAAGCAGTGCGAAGATGCAGTCTTCCCTGCACCCTCCAACAGCAACATACAAACCCGCCAAACTAGGCGGTCATCAGCCAAGAGGAAGCAGGAGTGCGCTCCACCTCATAGCAATGGCTAGGTGAGTCGACCGCCACCACTCTCTGCAGACAGCCAACGAGTGGCGTTTTCAGAGCAGGGTGCTCTTAGGCGGTAACTGGAGTGAGGGACGCTTTCCCCCTCCAAACTGTGGTCCATGCGCGGCGACCACCACCACTCCCCGATGGCATAACCGCGATGTTGAGTCTGATGTCAGCTCAAGTGCATCTGGACCACCTTCCTTGCTATCGCATGCAGCTGCCGGCTTAGGCATGGCAGCACACACATGGTTGAGGGTCAGCCTAAACCCCAGACTGCAGTGCAGTCGCAACTGTATGGTTTAGGGTAAGCCTAAACCCAAAAAATGTGGTCCCTATCGGGACCCGAAGAAGGCTGCTGCCAAAAGCCTCTTCGTCTGGTTTAGGGTAAGCCAAAACCCGTCACTACTAGATCTTCTGGGCTGGGAGGGGGGGCGAATTCTGGTTAGTAAGGGCGAGAACGCCGGTTTTGCTCCCCTTTTGACACTATGCAAGGCTGCGGGTTTGCCTCAACCCCGCCTTGCAACGTAGCCCGTGCGTCTGTTACGGCGGCCAGGCAAAGGGTAAAGAGTGCCTAGCGCTGGCTCCGGCATAGGTGCTTGGTCCCAGTTAGTAAGCGCGAGAACGCTGGGACCACCCGGAGCTTTTCCGATGAGTATCAGGCCTCTGGCTGTGCAAAGCAGGCTCCAGAGTCTTCTGGGCAGCCTTCTGCAGGTTCGGGCTCCGCCTCTGGAGCTAAGGAGCACAAAGCGACGGCGCCCTCGGTCCACTTTGCAGAGCTCGTGAAGGGCCGGTCCCTGCGGGCAATGCTTACGGGAGAGAGGGACTAGCTCCCCCTCCAACTGTGGCTCAGGAGAGTGTCCGCCACTCCCTGTTGAGTGCCACCTCCGGCCTCTAGCTTCACCCTGTGTCTTCTTAGGCTCGGCTAGAAGTGCCGAAAGGGTTCGGAGGCAAAAATCGGAGAGGTTTTCCGTGGGCTTCATTCACACACATGGTTGAGGGTCAGCCTAAACCCCAGACTGCAGTGCAGTCGCAACTGTATGGTTTAGGGTAAGCCGAAACCCAAAAATTGTGGTCCCTATCGGGACCCGAAGTAGGCTGCTGCCAAAAGCCTCTTCGTCTGGTTTAGGGTAAGCCAAAAACCGTCACTACTAGCTCTTCTGGGCTGGGAGGGGGGGGCGAATTCTGGTTAGTAAGGGCGAGAACGCCGGTTTTGCTCCCCTTTTGACACTTTGCAAGGCTGCGGGTTTGCCTCAACCCCGCCATGCAACGTAGCCCGTGCGTCTGTTACGGCGGCCAGGCAAAGGGTAAAGAGTGCCTAGCGCTGGCTCCGGCATAGGTGCTTGGTCCCAGTTAGTAAGCGCGAGAACGCTGGGACCACCTGGAGCTTTTCCGATGAGTATCAGGCCTCTGGCTGTGCAAAGCAGGCTCCAGAGTCTTCAACCCAGCCTTCTGCAGGCTCGGGCTCCGCCCCTGGAGCTAAGGAGCACAAAGCGACGGCGCCCTCGGTCCACTTTGCAAAGCTCCGTGAAGGGCCGTTCCCTGCGGGCAATGCTTACGGGAGAGAGGGGCCAGCTCCCCCTCCAACTGTGGCTCAGGAGTGTGTCCGCCACTCCCTGTTGTCTGCCACCTCCGGCCTCTAGCCTCACCCTGTGTCTTCTTAGGCTCGGCTAGAAGTGCCGAAAGGGTTCGGAGGAAAAAATCGGAGAGTTTTTCCGTGGGTCAGGGTCTCTGGAGCCGCGTCGGGCGCTTGCCCTCGGTTCTCACAGTGGTTGCGCAAGCTGCGGGCACTAGGCGAAGGCCTGCGACCACTAAGACTTTTGGGCAGCCTTCTGCAGGCTCGGGCTCCTGCAGAGCTACTTTATGACGGATTCACACCAGGAGAAGGTTCGCCGCTATCTGGCTTCATAGCCAGAACCCGCTCCTCAGTGGAGACAAGGGTGCCCTGCCGGGTGAGGTCCTATCACCCTTTTGGGTGAGGTTTCCTCCCTGTAGGACGGTGCGTCCTGTTTCACCGGGGAAGTGGCAGTACCACTCCCAGGAAGTGGACTCCACGCCTGCAAGTAGCTCAGGTAGGTCAGGTAGCCTGTAGCTCTCAGGGTAGGCCCGAGTCACAGCCGCCTTTTTGGCGATGCCACCCAAAGGGTGAAGTGCCTTTGAAACAAAGGCAAATTCACTGCATGCAGACTGCCTACGGGCTGCGCCACTTTCCGCGCGTCGAGAAGAAGAAAAGTTTACTCTGATGTCACCAGTATGCCGCTACATGTTCAGGTTTTGCAAACACATGTTGGGCCTGTTTCCTGTAATATATTGCAGGGCAAAATTCCAGCTTCGCGCCGGACCCGGCGCCGGTACAACCGAAGGCTCCGACTTGAACCAATAGAGCCCCTACGGGGAGCCCCCAAGAACCCGGTTGAGGAGGTCGCGGCTACCACCGATGTGCGCCTTGCTGGCAGCACTTGGGCAAAAAGCCAAGAATCAGGATTTGGCAACCCCCCATTCTCGGCTCGAGAATGGGGGGTTGCGTCGGACTGTCATTCTGGTTTACATGCTGTTCCTGATGTGCGCCCTGTTGGCGGCACTCGGGAAAAATGTGAGAAACCAGGTTTAGGCAACCCCCCACTCTCGGCTCGAGAATGGGGGGTTGCTTTCTCCTGCAAATCTGGTTTTCATCCCTCCTTCACTCGAAAAGAGCCTGGTGAGTCAGGTCAGCTTGTTGACTGGTGTCTTGCGTTGCATCTCCTCGAGACGGCCGAGGCCCAAGGCTACAAGTGTGTTGAAACTGAGATTATAAAACTTGCTGAAGACATCCTAACCCACTTCAAAGAGCCCTCTTTGGAGCACGCTGCAAAAATTGCTGATGATGTGTCTGGCAAACATATTGCTTCAGTTGCGCGGTGCCAGAACGAGGGGCAGAATGAGGCATTACAAATTCCTAACCCTGCATCCGGTTTTCTTGAATCAATTGAGCCCTTGCTTTTAGCGCCGTCCTCCTACCCATCTTTAGGAGAAAATGCATTTTCACATAAAGAAGGGTCTGCAGGAGTTTCAGCATTTCCAGCAGTTGCCAGTGAAGGGGAAATTTCGGGTTTAGCCGCTCTGGATGCACCAATAGAGCCCTTGAAGTCAATACCCGGCATCAAACATTCACGGAGGTCGAGGCGCAGGCGAGCCAGGCGATCCAAGGTGTTGCCGAGTGGAGAGCCTGCTGCTCACACTCCTGCCGTAAACCCGTGCCAGGACCCGCATGCCTCACCTGATTGCCCAGCCCGGCCCACCAAGACTTCACTTTGGCAGGAAATCGAAAATGGGCGTGTGGCGGTGGAAGCTGCATTTGCCAGTTGGTCCTGTCTGTGGAAGGGTTTGGAGCACAAGTGTCATTCGGAGGTACTTGAGGCTGTTGAGGCCTTAGAGTCGGGGCGCCACATCGTTGAAGACACTTTTGCATGGCGTGCGGCAGAGCTTGCTGTTGAGGCTGGTGATGAGGTTCCGTGGCATGTTGCCGGGTCAGCTGTTGCAGACGTCATGGCCAATTTAGATGCCGCCCCCTGCGGGCGTAAGCTGACCTTCATTTCTGCTAACGTTACCCGATGGCGCAAGGATCTGTGTCCGTGGCTTGACCGCCATAGACCGGATCTTTGCTTGGTGCAGGAGACGCACATTACAAAGGAGCAAGGTGACTTGATTTCCACACATGTCGGGCCCTTTGGATATAAGGCTTTCAGCCTGCCAGGGCATCCAACTGGAGGTGGAGGCAACTCAGGTGGATTGGCGGTTGTTTTCAAAAAACACCTTGACGTGCGTAAAGCCCACCATTTCCTTCACCACGGGGTAGGGTTCCAGGCTGTGGTGTTGCGCATCAGGGATGTTGATCTTTTTCTTGTCAATGTGTACTTGAAGTCCGGTGAAGGCTTTCGCAGCCAGGCCAATGCCAAAGTCTTATCCCACTTGATCTCCTTTCTCAGGTCTGTGAGAGGAGAGTTTTTTGTGGCTGGGGATTTCAATGAGGATTTCAGTGTCATTGGCACAACAAACATTGATCAGGAGGTTCGGGGCACGTGGCTCCACTCTGGGGCCTCCACTTGCACTGGAGGTGGAAACATTGACTATGGCATTTTGTCCAGGGGCTTGGTCTTGGGGGCTCAGCTTCAGGTTGATTGGGTTACACCCTTTGCGCCGCATGCTGCCTTGCACTGGACTATCAACAGGCAACACTGTGATGCCAAAATCCCGCAGCTTGTTGGTTTTAAGCCTCTCCCTCTGAAGCCCCAACCTTTTGTGCCGCCAGCAGCTGCAGGTTGTGACCTTAGTCAACCCATGTGGGAATGTGAACTCGGCCGCCATTGGGGTGGTTCTCTTGGGCAGCCGGCCCTCACTCAGCAGTTTGAGGCACTCAGTGGTTCTGTTGAGCTTTCGGTCTTCGGAGTTGCCCAAGGGAGGGGGGCCTTGCCAAAAATTCAAAGAGCCACAATGTTGTGCCATTCGGCCCCAGCAGGGGTGTGGGGTGGAGCGCAGGCTGCATTTTGGAAGCGGATTTTAGCCTGGCTTGAATGTTCCAAACAGCATAAGTGTAAGCTTCCCTTGTGCTCCAAGCTGCAGTTGCAGCTGTGCTCTATGTGGCAAGGCCAGAAGGAGCAGCTAGCTGAAGTGCAAGCCCAATTTAAAAAGTTTGGCCGAGATAATGCTCCGGATGTTTTCGCTTTTCTTTCAGAGGCTGCCAGTCAACAGTTTCGCTTGCACTCTAAGGCTTGGATGCAACAGCAGAGCGCAGGTTACTTTAAGTGGTTGAAGCAGGCTTCGCTGAAAGGCTTGAGGGGTTTGTTTCGCAGTGTTAAGTCTGAGGAAGCTGTTCATCTCAGGCCCTTCTTGACACAACCAGTCCAGGATCGCATTTATTTCCGGTGGAGGCAGTGGTTCGAATTGTGGTCAGACCCCAAAGGTGTTGACCAGGCACTTTTCAATGAGCTTAAGCAGCGTGCTATGTTGCAGGCGCGTGAACTTGGGCCAATTCCTATTGAGCAGGCTGTCGCGGCTTTCAAAAAGGTCCCCACCAAAGCACCGGGCCTGGATGGATGGACATGCGAGATTTTGCAAAACCTGCAGCGTCCTGCTGTTGAAGCTATTGTGGCTTTCCTCCATCATTGCGAGCTTGAGGCCAGTTGGCCTGACCAAATGGTTTTTGCCCTGATTGCGTTACTTCCGAAAAGTGACAAACGCGAAAGACCCATAGCACTTTTGCATATTCTTTATCGTGCTTGGGTGCGACTGAGATGGAAGCTGGTGGCCGACTGGCAAGGCCAATACTCCAGAGAAGCGGTGTGGGATAAGGCCATGCCGGGCAGTCAGGTTTTAGACGTTGCGCTTTCGAGGCTGCTCAGGGGGGAGGCCTCCAGACAATCTGGGCAACACCTCATAACTATCTTCATGGACATGGAGACGTTCTACGATCGTTGCAGGTTCAACGATGTCATTTCATCTGGCATTTCGCTCGGCTATCCTCCCTTGATCCTACACCAAGCATTGCTCACTTACATGGGCCCGCGCTTTCTACAGTCAGAGGGCTCCGTTTGCCCGGCCATCACCCCCGGTAGGGGGGTGTTGGCTGGGTGCCCGGCGGCTCCTTCCATCAGCAAGCTTGTTGTTCACCCGGTCGCGGCTAGAGTTCAGGCTAAGAGGGCTGCTGTCAACCTTGATGTGTGGATTGACGACATGTCACTAGATGCAGTACATGCTTCCGCCAAGCAGGTTGCCACAGATGCGATTTTGCTTTTCCGTAGTTTGCGCAAAGACCTTGAAGCCCGGGGTGCTACACTTTCCTTGGAAAAGACCTCCTTTGTTGCTTCTTCACCCCAGGCGGCCAAGTGTTTACTTGAAATCAGAGAGGAGTCGGATCCACAGGTAAAAAATTTTGCGAGGGATTTGGGGATCACTTCCGGGGGTGCTAGAAGGAGGTTGTTGGGGTTAGCAGAACAGCGTAGAAGTAAAGCTCGTGGCAGAGCGGTTAAGCTCAACAAGCTTGGCCTCACCAACCCCTCGCACAAGATCCGCATCATCCGTGCTTCACTGTGTGCAGCGGGCCTATGGGGTCATCAAGCAATCGGTGTAAGTCCCAAGCGCCGTAAGTGGTACAGGACCCTCTGTGCCAAGGCCATTGGAAGGCAAAAGTTGGGCTCCCTTGACGTCACCTTTCAGCTCATGAGCCACAAATGTGAGGATCCTCACCTTACCATTTTGCGACAACACTTTCGTGCGATAGCCCGTGTTTTCTACAGATGGCAGGTTGCGGACCCTGATAAGTTTAGTAGTACGTGGGTTTGCTTGTGGCGTAGACTTAACGAGGCTCCTCATCCTTGGAAGAGGGTTACGGGCCCCTTGTCCGCCACTTTGGCTTACCTCCTTGACTTAGGTGTTGTAGCCCCCAACCCTTCCTCTTGGCATCATGGTTCTGATGCTCTGCATATCCACTGGGATTGCCTTGATGCATGTAGGAAGGTTTGGCAGTGGCTCTACCCGATCTGGGAGCACGCCCGTAATAACCGCACTTCCTTGTTAGCTGGTTGTTCTCAGCTGGTGCATGGCATTGATGCTAAAGTTCCCAGGCGGCTCATGAAGCGTCGGTTTTTTAATAAGAAAACACATGTTCATTTGCAGACAGTATGGCAAGGGGCCTTGATCAGTGAGTCCAAGCCAGGTTTTTGCAAGCTGTGCAATTGTGCTCTTGATTTGAATCATGTGCTTTGGCAGTGTCCTTTCATCAAGTCCAAATTTCCGGAGCCGCCCCAATTTGCCAAGGCCAGAGAGCTTTACCAGTGGCCGAGTTTGTGGCTTCGAGGGCTTGTGCCCAGTGAGGCCACCCGCTTGAAGTACGATAGGGCTGATACTGGTTTTCTTGTTGAGGGGCTGTGGTGTCAACAGCAGGCCCTGCCAGGTGATCAGTATGTTTTTGCCAGTGATGCCTCAGGGGGTCCTGGAGCAAAAGATTCAAGAGCTTTATGTGTCTCGTGGGCCATTGCGGCCTACCGTCTTCATGATGGAGTCCCGGAGCGTGTGGCTAGTGTAACATGCCTACCCAAAGAGCCCTTGTCTGTCGCGCATGGTGAGCAACGGGCTCTTTACGAGCTTTTCTCAAGGACTGCCGGTGATTTTGACGTGACAGTGGACTGTCAAGGAGCTGTGCAGATTCTGGCGCGCTCCTCTCCGCCCAAGGAGGGGCCAATCCCATGGGGCTGTGTATGGCAAGAAAAAGCACGGGCTTTAGCAGTGTGGGTCCCGTCTCACAAAGACGAGGCTTATTATGCCAGTAGAGGCCTCAGCGAATGGAGGAGGCTCCTCAACTCTGACGTTGATCAACTCTGTGGGGCCAGATCAGCTGTGGCTTTTTCCGGAGCCTTTCAGCCGGATGTGGGACCTATTGACAGGTTGTGTGAAGATGTTTGTCTCCATCTTGCCAGGAAAGCAGGACATATCCTTCACAACCTGTCGTCTCCGTCCTTTCCTTGGGTCCTTAAGCGTGAGGCCAAGGAGCCTGATGCACAGGAGCCAAAACAGCGCTTGGTTAGGTCTGGGCAGTGTTTCAACAAACAAGCCTCTGCCCCTGCCAAGCTTAACAAAAGGCAACTGCTCCAACAGTTGGTCAATGAGCCCACTAGGTTGGGTCACTTGTGGGTTTCTTCTCCGTCTAAAGCAGTCAACAACTTTGCAGTTCAGTGCCAGCGCTGTCAGCTTTACATAGAACAATGTAACAGCCTGGAGGTTTTTAACCGCAAATTTCAGCATCCCTGCCAGGACATTGAGGCTCCTTTGCAAAATTGCTGGGACATTCATTGCTCTCACGCTATGGTCAACAAAGGCGCTCTTTTTGCTTGTTCTAAGTGCTTGGCGGTTGTTAAAATTGCTGCAAAGGCATCTTCTAAGGTTTTGCAAAGCCCTTGTCTAGGATTGGCAAGAAAACCTGCTTGTCGCATGACCCACACCCGTGCTAAGGTTGAGGCCAAGCAAAGCCTGTCCCTTGAGGAAACCTTTCAAAAACAGGCCGGTGCGTCGGACTCCCAAGCAGGTTTGCCAGTTGTAGGTCCTGCAGGTGCTGCCAGTGTTGTGCCAAAAGCCAAACCTGCTGCTGGTAAGTCCCTGCCCAAGTCCAGGCCCCCTAACCCTAAACAAAAACTTTTGTCCTTTGCAAAGTGACTGAATTGCCTGGATTGTCGGTGTGCGCTGTGTGCTGCACCTGACAAGAATGGCAAAATTCTGTAAGGTTAGGGGTTTTTCCTTGCCAACATTAAGCTGCTTGGTGTGCGCTTGTTGCTGCACCCGTCCTTCTTTTGGGTTTCTTAGGCCCTTCCCAGTAGTTTGCAGTTCTGGCGCTCCGTGTTGAGCAGCCTCAGCAGCAAACTGTTGGTGAATGTGTGCACTCCACCTCGGGCTGCAGCCCTGTGGCACTGCAGGACTCTGTGCTTTCTACTTTGCACTCCCCGGTGAGCTGCATTGTGCAACAGCTGCAGTTTGATGAATATGTGCACTTTTCGAACCTGTTACTACCTTGCGGCGGGCCTTGTAAGGCCCTCTGGCATCTCTGGCAGTTGTTTGCCTGTAACTGTGTGGCTTCTTGGACCACGCACTGCTCCAGCTTCTGCTTGGCAACTTGGCAGGTTGGTGGTGTGAACATTTGCGTGTTCATACGACCACCTGCTGCACTGTGTACAGTCGGCGGTAGTCTTCGTAGGCTCGTTGTTTCCGTGTACTTTAGCTGCTTTTGGTTGCTGGCAGCAATGGCAGGTGGAGTAGTTTTGCTTGAACCTTTGGAAAGCTGGAAGGTTCTGGTGCTCTTGCAAACCGCTTACCTTGAAGGCGTTTGCTGCTGTGCTGGACGGGGGCCTTCGACTTGCCTGCATGCCCGTTGAATTTGTGGCTCTCATTGGCGCCCGTTGCTGCTCTTCCTCGCCTCTTTTTGTAAGCTGGTTTTCCCCTTGTTTTGGGCTGGTGCAAGGTCCGGCTTCTACTAACTTCACTCTGTGCAACAGCTCCACATGTCTACCTTTGGTGGGCGTGTGGTGCTTTCCGTAGTTGTGCAGTCCCCGCTTGCGTTGCGGATGTGCGTAGTTAGCTGTCGATCTGTACAGTGTTGTTCGTTAGTGTACCGGCCACTGGCCGCGGCAGTCGCAGCCCGCTCGGAAAGAAAAGTTTACTCTGGCTCAAGGTCTCGGCTCAAGCCCTGGTTTACAGGTGGGTGCTGCAGGTAGGAAGCTTGCTGTGTAGTAACCAGTCCCTGGTCCTAACTGCTTTCGCAAGAGGCCCAAACAGGTTCAATCCCAGCTTTAGCTCCTGTGCAAATTGCGCCTCAGACAGGGCTTCTCCCGTCTGCTTGTCTCCTGCTTGGAAGTGGGCCTCCCCTCCTCGCAGCTCAAGATAAGCGACACAGTTCTTGCAGCTCAACTGGCCCTGCCAGCTGTCAGGGAAGCAACTGAGTGCAGGACTGCTTTAGCCGAGTGCACACTGCACCAGAGCGAGGACTCGGCGCAGGTGGGTGCTGCAGGCAGGAAGCGTGCTGTGGACGAACTAGTCCCTGGTCCTAACTGCTTTCGTGAGGGCCCAAGCGACTTCGTTCCCAGTTCTCTCCTGCGCAAGTTGCACACCAGACAGGGCTTCCCCCGTCTGCTTGTCTCCTGCTTGGACGTGGGCCTCCCCTCCTCGCAGCTCAAGATAAGCGACACAGCTCTTGCAGCTCAACTGGCCCTGCCAGCTGTCAGGGAAGCAACTGAGTGCAAGACTGCTCTGGCCGAGAAAACACTGCACCAGAGCTTAGGCTCGGCGCAGGTGGGTGCTGCAGGTAGGACGCGTGCTGTGGAGAAACTAGCCCGTGGTCCGCACTGCCTTGAAAGAGGCCCAAACAGTTTCAATCCCAGCTTAAACTCCTGCGCAAGTAGCATCCCATATAAGGTTCCCCCGACTGCTTGTCTCCTGCTTGGACGTGGGGCTCCACTCCTCGCAGCTGGACAGGGTCGCGACCCGTCTGGCCTGCTTGGAGCTCCCTCCAGCAAGGGTTTAAGACCGTTTAGCAGGATAAGCGACACAGCTCTTTCAGCTCAACTGCCCCTGCCAGCCGTCAGGGAAACAACTGAGTGCAAGACTGCTCTGGCCGACAGGTGAGTTGGCCACTGCCACTCCCTTCACGGCAGGGTTGTCCCTGCTTGCTGCTAGTTTCTTAGCAAGTAGGTGAGCTCCTCACCTTGTCTTCTCCCTGTAAACCCTGTCTCCTGGCAGGAAGGGAGCGCCGCGCTCTCAGGTTCACGCTTGGGTTCTCTCTCTGAGAGCCCGAACAAGACCGAGAGCCAGCGACTCAGGTTGCCTACGAGGTTTGGTAAGACTTTGCTCCTAGGCTTTGCTTGGCTTGGCTCTTTTTGCGAGTCTGGTTTGCAGACGATTGTGTTTCGTTTCCGGAGCTTGGCTTGAGTGGGTTGTGGTCCCCACACCTACCCTGCCAAACTTAGGACCAATCGGCGCAAATCCAAGCAATGAGCGTGCAGCGAAGCAGTGCGAAGATGCAGTCTTCCCTGCACCCTCCAACAGCAACATACAAACCCGCCAAACTAGGCGGTCATCAGCCAAGAGGAAGCAGGAGTGCGCTCCACCTCATAGCAATGGCTCGGTGAGTCGACCGCCACCACTCTCTGCAGACAGCCAACGAGTGGCGTTTTCAGAGCAGGGTGCTCTTAGGCGGTAACTGGAGTGAGGGACGCTTTCCCCCTCCAAACTGTGGTCCATGCGCGGCGACCACCACCACTCCCCGATGGCATAACCGCGATGTTGAGTCTGATGCCTGCTCTAGTGCATCTGGACCACCTTCCTTGCTATCGCATGCAGCTGCCGGCTTAGGCATGGCAGCACACACATGGTTGAGGGTCAGCCTAAACCCCAGACTGCAGTGCAGTCGCAACTGTATGGTTTAGGGTAAGCCTAAACCCAAAAAATGTGGTCCCTATCGGGACCCGAAGAAGGCTGCTGCCAAAAGCCTCTTCGTCTGGTTTAGGGTAAGCCAAAACCCGTCACTACTAGATCTTCTGGGCTGGGAGGGGGGGCGAATTCTGGTTAGTAAGGGCGAGAACGCCGGTTTTGCTCCCCTTTTGACACTATGCAAGGCTGCGGGTTTGCCTCAACCCCGCCTTGCAACGTAGCCCGTGCGTCTGTTACGGCGGCCAGGCAAAGGGTAAAGAGTGCCTAGCGCTGGCTCCGGCATAGGTGCTTGGTCCCAGTTAGTAAGCGCGAGAACGCTGGGACCACCTGGAGCTTTTCCGATGAGTATCAGGCCTCTGGCTGTGCAAAGCAGGCTCCAGAGTCTTCTGGGCAGCCTTCTGCAGGCCCGGGCTCCGCCTCTGGAGCTAAGGAGCACAAAGCGACGGCGCCCTCGGTCCACTTTGCAGAGCTCGTGAAGGGCCGGTCCCTGCGGGCAATGCTTACGGGAGAGAGGGACTAGCTCCCCCTCCAACCACTCCCTGTTGTCTGCCACCTCCGGCCTCTAGCCTCACCCTGTGTCTTCTTAGGCTCGGCTAGAAGTGCCGAAAGGGTTCGGAGGCAAAAATCGGAGAGGTTTTCCGTGGGCTTCATTCACACACATGGTTGAGGGTCAGCCTAAACCCCAGACTGCAGTGCAGTCGCAACTGTATGGTTTAGGGTAAGCCGAAACCCAAAAATTGTGGTCCCTATCGGGACCCGAAGTAGGCTGCTGCCAAAAGCCTCTTCGTCTGGTTTAGGGTAAGCCAAAAACCGTCACTACTAGCTCTTCTGGGCTGGGAGGGGGGGGCGAATTCTGGTTAGTAAGGGCGAGAACGCCGGTTTTGCTCCCCTTTTGACACTTTGCAAGGCTGCGGGTTTGCCTCAACCCCGCCATGCAACGTAGCCCGTGCGTCTGTTACGGCGGCCAGGCAAAGGGTAAAGAGTGCCTAGCGCTGGCTCCGGCATAGGTGCTTGGTCCCTGTTAGTAAGCGCGAGAACGCTGGGACCACCTGGAGCTTTTCCGATGAGTATCAGGCCTCTGGCTGTGCAAAGCAAGCTCCAGAGTCTTCAACCCAGCCTTCTGCAGGCTCGGGCTCCGCTTCTGGAGCTAAGGAGCACAAAGCGACGGCGCCCTCGGTCCACTTTGCAAAGCTCCGTGAAGGGCCGGTCCCTGCGGGCAATGCTTACGGGAGAGAGGGGCCAGCTCCCCCTCCAACTGTGGCTCAGGAGTGTGTCCGCCACTCCCTGTTGTCTGCCACCTCCGGCCTCTAGCCTCACCCTGTGTCTTCTTAGGCTCGGCTAGAAGTGCCGAAAGGGTTCCGAGGAAAAAATCGGAGAGGTTTTCCGTGGGCTTCATTCACACACATGGTTGAGGGTCAGCCTAAACCCCAGACTGCAGTGCAGTCGCAACTGTATGGTTTAGGGTAAGCCGAAACCCAAAAATTGTGGTCCCTATCGGGACCCGAAGTAGGCTGCTGCCAAAAGCCTCTTCGTCTGGTTTAGGGTAAGCCAAAAACCGTCACTACTAGCTCTTCTGGGCTGGGAGGGGGGGGCGAATTCTGGTTAGTAAGGGCGAGAACGCCGGTTTTGCTCTCCTTTTGACACTTTGCAAGGCTGCGGGTTTGCCTCAACCCCGCCATGCAACGTAGCCCGTGCGTCTGTTACGGCGGCCAGGCAAAGGGTAAAGAGTGCCTAGCGCTGGCTCCGGCATAGGTGCTTGGTCCCTGTTAGTAAGCGCGAGAACGCTGGGACCACCTGGAGCTTTTCCGATGAGTATCAGGCCTCTGGCTGTGCAAAGCAGGCTCCAGAGTCTTCAACCCAGCCTTCTGCAGGCTCGGGCTCCGCTTCTGGAGCTAAGGAGCACAAAGCGACGGCGCCCTCGGTCCACTTTGCAAAGCTCCGTGAAGGGCCGGTCCCTGCGGGCAATGCTTACGGGAGAGAGGGGCCAGCTCCCCCGGAGTGTGTCCGCCACTCCCTGTTGTCTGCCACCTCCGGCCTCTAGCCTCACCCTGTGTCTTCTTAGGCTCGGCTAGAAGTGCCGAAAGGGTTCCGAGGAAAAAATCGGAGAGTTTTTCCGTGGGTCAGGGTCTCTGGAGCCGCGTCGGGCGCATGCCCTCGGTTCTCACAGTGGTTGCGCAAGCTGCGGGCACTAGGCGAAGGCCTGCGACCACTAAGACTTTTGGGCAGCCTTCTGCAGG